CACACATAATTTAAAAAATGTGTTTGTATGTTATTAGATAACATCACAACATTCACTGAGTAGCGAACTACAGTGGGCAGTTACATTTTAACTCATCGAAGAAACTAAAACACCTCACATGGATTAAACTTTGATCAAACCATTCCCCCACTACAGTTAATGAGAGAATATTTATGTATCTGTATGTCTTTTAACATATATCTCACAATTAAGAGCCACATTTCCACCACCATCTGCCAGCATGGATTAATGCTGTTTTTCAGGGTGTTAAATATCCATCCATTATCTATACACCATTTAATCCTCACTAGGGTCATGGGGGGGCTGGAGCCTATCCCAGCTGACTTAGGGTGAAGGCAGCGGACACCCTGGACAGGTCTGGTGTTAAATATTAGGAAAGATAATTATATAGAAACACAAAGAAGGCTTTGGAGATCATCCACTGCTGATTTGGAGTAATTACCACAGATCAAGTGGTTTTGTTAAAGTCTGAATAAAAGTCTGCTGTAGTGGACGTCATGCATGAAAGTGTCTTAGTGAAATATAACAGAACAGAAAACACAAGACAACTTAATTATATTTATTATGTAAAAATCAAATAGCATCTTATATACATCCATAGAAAAAAAACAAATCAAATATTTGTTGTAATGTTACAATAACATGTTTTCAGGTTTAACATTGAAACTCATCTGCAACTGGAAATCCGCCTATTGCACATCTGAGCTGTAAACCTACTTACTGCCAGTGACTTTTTTTTATTTTTATTATTATACAAGAGTTTTTACTGTTTGCATTCCTGAAAACTCAAAAGACAAAAAAAGAATAAAGTTAAAAATACTATGCGGTAAGTCTCAGTTTAAAAAAAGCCCTGTGAGGATGTTCCTGCTTTGTTCCAATGGCTCAGTGGGTCTATGGCCAAACTTTCACTTGGCTTGGAAGTGGAGTCTTACCACTTATTTTCATTGCTGAATAGACATCATAAAATATTAAGTACGTCTGGTAACAACACTCAACTATATGTAGAACACGGAGGAGATGAGGGAAAGCAGGTTTGAGCTGTTCACTGTCAGCACAGAGGTGAGAGAGAAGTAATGTGTTTTAACTTTCACAATCTATCACCTTTCACTTTATTCCTTTACTTGGTTAAATTCAAGCCCTTGTCCTATATTCAGTATCGACTGGCACCTATTTTACATAATGCATAAAACATGCAATCAATAAGCATGCTCAGTGGAGACACATGTCCATACATTCACACAAAGGTCAGACTGAAATGAACCCCATGTCATTTATGTGAACTTTATAACTTAAGACATAATAAATAGACATTGTGAAAATGCATACTATGCATAGGTTTGTGCAGAAGACGTCCACATAAACAGTAGTTGTCAGTACTTTAACAGCTATGCCGTAATATTTCATTCTTGTGTTGTATAACTGTAGGCAGCAGAGGCTAAAGCCATTCACATGACAGTTCCTTTTTGGTCCCATGGAAACACTCCAGAGCAATACGACGAGATGATGTTAAACACAACGATACATTGTCATCCTGCAGGATTTAGATTAAATTCTCAGGGAAAAAATATACATTAATAATGATTATAATTTTACTAAACTTTAATAGCCAGTGCAAGAAAAGTGTTACTAAAAGTTAGTCTAGTACGTGATTCTATCACATACTAAGGACAACTGCAGGGCATTTTAACAATTTGACACTGTTTTTGTCAAGAGTGCTTTGTGCTAGATGCAAGTATCAACCCTGTTCCATGAAAGCAAAGAAACAGGACAATAAAGATTAAAGATTTCTTGGCATTCGGATAAGTTCAAAAGGAATCACGAAAATAATCTTCCAGAGAAGGTACTGGAACCTTGTGGTTATGTACCTTTAAACAAATAAAGAGCCACAATACAACAACAAGGTAAACCACAAACAAAGTCATAATGAATAATTGTGGTTGGAGTCTGCATAGTAGGGTCTGAAACCCCTACACTGTCACTGGTCTTTTAAACAAGACCTGGAATCTACACTTCTTCATACCATGACGTCTTACTTGCCTGCTTTGCCCCTTGTGGGCTCCTAAATACAGACATTAATACCTCCGTAGACCCTCTACAGTTGTAGAGTGTAAAAACCACTGACAACACCGCACATTGACATGAGACATGCTCACACTATTTTGTACACAAGATGCACTTAAAGCATCCAGCACCTTCCTTTTAGCAGTTAGCCACTTCTCTGGCCCCGTCGGACAAGCTCCGTCCTTCCCTGAACTCTGATCTTTTCTTGTTTCACACCACCTCATCAGACTCCAGGTTGTATTCTTCATACAGTGAATCCAGGATGGCCAGCTGCCTCTGCATGGCGGGCAGGTACACTCCCAGGTCCCTGTGCATGCCGCTGGTGAAGCCGCTCTTCAGCTCGTCGCCCTCTCTCGACACTAAGGCGGCGGCGAAGCTTTGATAAGACGGGGCGGCTCTCAGCGCCAACTGGGGAAGAGGAAATATCGAGCAGCTGTCACATTGCAAGAACAGATTGCAAGTACATCAGAAGGGACGAGTTTTAGTTTAAGGACGGAATACCTACAGCAAATACGCCTCGAACAACCCATCCGTGGTACTGCCGAAGAGTCCTTCCATAGGCATTATCTGCAGGACAGAACACATGACAGTGAACGTGCATTAAGTTGTGTATGTTAATATGACACTGCATCAGAGGCATTGGAGGGATCTTAAAATATCAAAGGTTAGCCGAGCCCTGAAATCTTTGGGTTTCAACCTCTTAACTGAATCCTCTTCAAGCTATTTCAGAGTTTAAAAAAACACAAAATGGAAGCACTGTGCCCTCAGCAAAGCTTCTTTCTGTGTTCAGGCCAGCTAGACCAGTGGTTTTCATACTGTGTGTCTTTAACAGTCTAATCTATGTAGCTAGAATCACATGGAAAGATGCGCAATGTGACAAAAAAAAAAGAACCACTGAGCTAGATCATGAGTTGATCATTTTTAGCTACCAGCTGGAGCTAGATTGGTATATCTTATAGGTTATTCATACTCATTTTAATATTTAATGCTAATTTTATTAAATAGCAATTTGACTTAATTTGATTGATTTGAATAATTCAGAAGAAGGGATACAGGTCCCAGTGAGGAGATAACATTACCCCAAATAAAATAACCAATAATAAAAAGCAAAACAATCCAGTGTTTGTGATGATTACAAAAAACCACAAAAAGATTCTGTCAAAGTTTAGCCTAATCCAACTCTTCCTCCACCTCCACTTACCTCGCCTGTTCTTCTTTGCCTTCACTCTTTTTGGAAAAAGCTTCTTCACTTTACAGCCTTCAAAACTCTTGCCTTTGTGAATTAGACTAACTAACGACAACCAGATAAAAACGCTGAAAAGCTCTGGAGACAGCGTGCTCTATTGTCACACAAAATGCCAAGTAGTGTGAAATAAATCTGCAGCGTAAGCACTTGTGTTTCTTGATCAACAATGTATTGAAAGTTCTACTGCATGCTCAGAATGACAGCTAAACAGATCCATGGATATTTGTATCTTTTGTTTATTCTTATGAATAAATAACTCAGATTCAGGTCCATAGTTTTGGACGCTAAAGGCCCAACAACGCCACTGCTCTGTCGAAATGCAGGACTTACTTAGCGCTCCGTGGATGTCTTGTTCTCCAGCGTTGACCTCCGACAGAAACTCCTTGAGGAACTTCAGGCCCCGCTTGAGCCACAGCAGGGCCTCGGTGGCCGAGTTGCGCACTTTGGCAACATCAGTCTCTACTTCATGCAGCACGATGGACTGTAGTGTGGGGAAGCTGTCTGTGTCTGACAGCAGCTTCTGGTGAATTTTCTACGAGGACAACAGAGTGATGGAGGAACACGGAGATGAAACAGATGCTTCAGCTACTCTGCAATGAGTGTTATTTAACTAATGACAAGAAATGATATATTAAAAAAAAAAAAACATGGGAATATATTATCTATTCCTATTGACAGAGTAAGAATAATTTAATTAAAAAGTAATGTGTTTATTTTCAAAGATAAACCAAGTTGGAACAACACAAACTCCTCCCTATTGACCGTCACAGTTATGTACAATATGCAGAGCAAACTTTAAAAGGCAGACTTCATAATCATTCATGCAGTTGATCAGTAAGTTCACTACTTGTCGAGAACATGTGCACTCACCTTGATATTTCCGACAAAATCCATTTTAACTGGTGCAAACACTGTAGATCCCAGTTTGTCTGAGAAGAGAGAATCTATGATCATTTCTGTGTCGCGCCTGGAGTTTGGTGTCCTATTTCGAGTATGATGATGTGACTTAATAGTCACAGACTGACAACAGAGCTTTCATCCTAATTAAGCAATCATAACACGTTAAAGAGAGATTTCTTTTTTCACCTCTTACTACAGAAACAAAGGAAACAAAGGTTACGGCATGCTAGAGGACCCCAAATCTCTTTTCCAAAAGCCTGCTGCATTTTATTTTATTTTTATTTGACCTTTATTTTACCAGGTAAAAATGTCTGAGAACTAGTTCTCATTTGCAAACATGACCTGCATGACTGAGATAAAAGATTCCCCAGATTTGTTTTGCCTTGCAGCCAATAAAGAAGCTACTTTTTTACATAAGTACTGGATAAAGGCAGAGATATCTGACGTCTGGATCTGTGTCAAGATTAAATAACACAGATGTAGTCAATGCGGGCTGTAAACGTTTAAGCTAGAAGTGAGCAAAGGGGAGGGGACTACCAAAGCAAGTTTAACATCAGCCAGGCTTCTTTTTGTGTCGGCTGGCTCGACAAAAACCTAAAAGCACAATCAGAGATAAAGGTATCAATCAGAGATAATGGTATCAGTCAGAGATAATGGTATCAAGATGTTGTTTATCAACTGTCTTTGTAATCCAGGTTTTCTTTATCAGACTCTGAGCGTGCTCCCATTAAAGAGGGTGTTCAAAGATCATCTGACTAAAGAGGAACAGGCTGTTATTACAATAAAGACAATGTAAAGATTTATCACTGCAAATGACACAAGAGGGGAATGCTGGTAGAAAGTAGTTATCGGTGTCGGTTAATAGATTTATGTTCCCACTCTCGATACAGCTGTTCATTTCTAACGTGACAGCTGCACATTAGAGCTCTGAAACTTTAAACTTGAGACATTTAAACACGATACTCGACAAGCGCATTCAGGTCGGACGCTGTCCCACAATAAAGGAGACGTGGAAATCGAGTTAGTTTTGGCCAAATCGAAGTGAAATGAATGGTAGTGATTGAACATTCTCAGTGATAAACACAAATAGACTACTGAATTTTCTGTTAGCTGCAATACTAGGAGTGTATAAGTTCACATTGTAATCTTGCAGGTTATAAAGAGCCGTATTTGTTCAAATTTAGGCTACCTACTAGAACACCCCTCAGGCTCCATCGGGTAAAAGGTCATGCCAGTTCAGATATAAATTTAGTTATTAAAAGAGATATGCAACTTTTTAAAGTCTAACGGAGGCATCTTTTTATGATTTTTAGACTCCTTATTTTAGGTACTGTTAGGTCCTGTTGGCTCATATGAAACATAGGTTAATGTTATCCTGAGCATCTTACATGTGTGCTAATTGGACACTGCTGTTCATCTACATAGTTTTTGGGTTGTTTTTTTTACAACCAATAAACCTAATCAAATCTCTAAATATCAAGTTGATTAAAAAAAGAAATAAAAAATGATGATGGACAAACAAGGCAGGACTTGTTTTTGTCCATCATTATTTTTCTTTTCTTGGCCAAAACAAGGTGTAAAAGGTTGCACTTCTTTATATCATTTCTCTGACTGTGGTTATCCTTGTGTAATACACTCTGTGTACTACACAAACACACACACACAGCCACAGGAACGTGCAGGAGCTAATCCTTATAAACCTTGTCATATGATAGGTTGTTAAGCTCCAAAGAATAAATAAAGCCAATGACAAACGTACAAATACAGTAGGGAAAATAATGGGGGCATGAAAGAGAAGGATGGTGAAGAATTTAAGAGAGAAAGTTGCCACCTCATTAGTTTACAGACAACATGAATGACAGGGCATGCACAAATAAAAGGAGACACAGCAGGAAGAAGTTGTCCTTATCAAAGACGAAAATTACCAGAGATGGGCATCATGAGAAATAGGAACAGGGTAGCAGATTAAGATGAGGAGAGACTGAAAGTAACCGGCCTACCTAATACAGGCACTATTGCATAGCATGAGTCCAAAAACTCTTGTGTAGGGATACCATTGTCGTCATCCAGTCTTATATCACTAAATCTAAAAAAAGTAGAACAGATTCAAACAGGAGAATATATTAGAGGTGAGTATCCCATTGCAGTTTTTATTTGACAGAATCAAACAGAAAAAGAAAAGGGGTACAAATGTCAAAACCGAGTCAGAGAAATGATTCACACAGAATGTCATGCAACTCTAGGCCTGACAATACCTGAGACCATTCTGCTACTTTATCTGCAACTTAACAAAGTTGTTGTTGTTTTTTTTCTACAAAACTGCCCCGTCAGTTTTAAAAGACCAACTCCAAAATGCACACACTACAGTTCTCATCTTGCAGTTGAATACTGGTTTAAGTGGGACATGGATCTCCTCCGTTATAATAATACTGTTACCTCGTAAGTGAACGTTACAGAAATGATAGTTCACACACTAATCAATAACACTGTTCAATGTCTTAAAGAAAGTTTGGAATACAGAGAGAAATGTTAACAAAAAAAGCTTTACAAACCCAAATATCAGCTGAGGGCCTCTCTGTGTCATGTGATCAAGAGAGAACACACTAATATAAAACACTTGATCAGGACATCTTAGAATGGATTTAGTTAAAATGCTTGTTAATAATTTACTCTGTGCAACACGGCAATACAATTAATATATTTATACAAACTACTGTGCAGTTTAGTCAAAAGATACAGCACTAGTGTAGTGCCTTAGTGACAAAAATACTACATATAGCTTAAATTGGTTTATCCTAATACTGTAATATCACAGACAATCATACAGTAAGTTCAAACAGTAACTAAACAGTCCTAAGGGATGTGACCTTCCTGAGTAGCATTTTCATACCTGTGACTCATTGTGCTGAAGAAAGTTTCCACCTGCTCTGTGTCTTCTGACTCCGTTGAGTCTCTGGGAGTTTCTCCTTCTTCTCGAGTCTCTTCTCGGTCCGAAACGTCCTCCTGTGGTAGCTGGACAGCGTTCACGTCAATGTTGTTGTTGTCGTGCTCTTGACTTTGGTCCTCTTTGTGCTGTTTCTGCTCCTCTCCTTTGTCTCCTTCATTGTCCTCCACTCCCTCTGCTGGCTGGTCATAGTGTTCGATCTCAGAGGTATTCTGGGTAGTGTGTGAAGTGGGATCGACTCGCTCCTCGTGAACCGAGCTGCTGGCTGATTCGACGTCTGCGCGAAACAACAGACACACAGGAGACATACGCATGAGTAGACAAAGGGATTGAAAACTGGAATATGGTTGACACAGTGCAGATGTTTATCGCAGCATGTCTAACGCCCAGTTTTCATCAGGCTGGGGGATGCAAATTGTAAAAGCAGCACTTTAGCGACTTGCACAACTATTGCATGGACTCATTCTTTTTAAACTATTGACACAAACCAAAGAATATTCCAATACAGCGACAATATGGCAGAACATATCTGACTTTATTAGGACAAAACAATAAAGTCCTGAACTAGTTTATTCCACTGTCCTCTGTGCCTATGCTGACCAACAACCTCATCATGATGGCAACAGCTGTCCAGTGTCCAACCTTTGGATAACAAAATGTAAAATCATACGACAAACTTCCACTTCAGCACTAAATGTTGTATGGACATGACGCATCGCTGCACTGACTTCTACTCTATTGAACGGTTCATGTGTGACACCTAGCATGACTGCTGGGTGTGGTAAGGTGTGTTGTGAAATGCCAACCTGTATGCGGTTAGGACAGAGCAAACAGCGACAAGATGTCGGCATGAACAGATTTTCTACCTGGCGGTAGTCGGCCTTAGGAGGTGCCACGTTTTTCATCGTCTTGTATCTTTTTTTTTTGTTTGTGAATTTTGCTCGACATAGAAAAGAGTGATACCTTAACCCTCTGAACCCCATAAAGTTCCTCTGCATGTTTTGCTCCTGTTACATTTTCACTGACCATGGCCTCATTTTTCACTGCAATATAAAGTCTTGCACCTTTATGGAAACAGCACAGCCATGGATAGAAGGGGACTGAAATCAAAAAATGTTTTTTGTGCAGTACAATAAAGTCATACTGCCATAAATCACTAAAAAAAAAAGGGCAAGTTGAATTTCTTTGGCTTTACAACACTGAAAAAAACTGGCGACTCTGCATACTATAGATATTTACTACTTAAATATTCAATTTGTTTCCATGCTTGTTTCCTATCTGCTCTGTGTGCACAGAGCCTGCAGTTAAGCCCAGTTTAGCTGAAGCCATGACTGTTTATCGCCAACACCAATATCTGATATTAAGATTTCTGATATTGCTGATAACCAATATTACTGATGTCGATATTCAATTTTTTTTTTAATACCGAAAAATGGGGTATAAGTAAACACTATAAGAACGTGAAAACTATTCAAAAGAAGCCCATACCAAATTAGACCACATAGTCTTTTTTATTATGTAGCAAAAGTAAAACATGTTTAAACACATTTTAACATATTTAACGTTCAAGTCCGCGACTATTTAAGTAAAAACATCTGTGAAATAGCAGCAATAACAAATGTAGAGACAAAGGCGCTAATAGTAGACAATCATCGATTTTTTACATCGTCTGATACCGATGTAGTCGCCGATATATCGTCCATCCCTAGTTTTTACAGGACCTGGTGCGTGTTATTTTAGGCAAATGTTTAACTCAGACATGTAAAATAAAATGATTTTCAGTAACTATCACGACCTCAAGCTTGCCGGTGGAGCTGCTGAACATGCATGATTAAAGTTTCTGGCTCTGACACATGGGATAATTTTAGAGATTTGAAAAAACATAACATGCTTTTCACACTTGCCTGCAGGTTTTGGGGTTAGTTAATTATTAAAAAGTCTGACAATTGTTTTTTTTGTTTGTTTGTTTGTTTTGGATTTTTACCAATGTACTACCAAACTACTATAATCTGACTACATTTCTTAAATTTCAGTGTCAAATAGCACTAAAAACTGTGCATAGTATTTTCTAATGTAATATGATGTAAACTTTGCACCAAAAAAACAGGTGTCTTTCATGTATTGTGCTACTTTTAAAATCTGGTTGACCAGTTTAACCTATTCCAACAAACTGCTATTTTACATGAAATATTCACGTTTTCAGAAAATAAAGATTGAAAACCTTACACATACATTTTAAAAACTCTTAACTGCACCTATAGCATGCATATTAGTTACTGGGTATATACATTATAGATGACCCGAAACAATAAAATAGAAAGACTGTTCTTATTGTCCATCACAGGCAGTGGCTTCCTGAGTGTAAAGACTCTGTTACTCCTAATGGAAATACAATAATATAACTGGACATCCATCACTGTCGCCTCACTAAAAGGCAATAATCTATCCACTTCACTTCAGATGATACACAAACAACAAGCAGGTCCCTTGTGTGCTGTGTGGGTTTTTCCCCCTTTGTAGAGTGCAGTAATAGTTTTCAATTCAGGAAACTCTGCACCACGTAAAGTGAGTGTTTGGGAAACCTGACTTACCTGATGGGGAAGTATAATGTTCCGGTCTATCTGGTTCATCTGGTCCCTCTGCTCCAGAATCAAGGCTCTGGTTGTCATGTGCTATTGCTTCTCCTGAGGTTTCGGCCAAATCTCTCCACCTAGAGTACATTTCATTTCAGGACAACATGCCAATTTTGAAACGTAGGAAGGAAATTCTTCTAAACAGCCATTGCGTGGAAATGAGACATAAACAACATATTAATAGCAGCATATTAAAGTATCAACAGAAGATTATTAAAAAGGTATTTTAATTTACGTGACAGTTCATGATAAATGAAGACACGCTGTATGACAAGACAACATTATTCCGTAATAGCGATAGAAAAAAAGCGACCTACTTTTCTCCAAGGTTCTGATTTAAGTGATTGACGGGTTTAATCTGTTGGGAAAACAACATTGGACGATTACACATATTCTATTTCTGAAAACAATGCAAGACTGAATTTACAAGCTTGCCGTTATGTTGATTAGTCACAGAGTTGGCGAGAAAAATGTACCTTCTGGGGTTTGATGGCTGGGACCGGAGGAGTTCCTGGCGGACTCTGTGATGCCATATCTGTGCTGAAAGTACGATTCGCTATCTGCATACATTCCTCCAGAGTCTTAAGAAAAGTAGTGCATGTAGACTTCACCATGTTTCCAGTGTCTAGGCCCATCTGAAAAGGGCACAGAAACATACATGTTAGTTAAAACTGCAACTTATTCAAACATTCTAACAGGTAAGTATGCAGATGGCAACACGTGCTGCTTGTCTGTCTATTAATAGGTATAAACGCACAGCAAGTCCAAGTTTAGCTAATTACAAATGGGCTATTCTATACTGCAATTTCACACTAACAGCAGCTTCTCTTATTTCATCGGCTCACCCGAACCTCAAACTTACCTCCGCTGTTTCTCCTAGCTCATCATTCTCCTTGATCTTGTTAACTTGCTGGAGAAGAAGGTCACAATACAATCTGAGTTCTGACATCTTGGTTTTCAGTGCTTCTGTGTTCTCCTGAAGCTCTGTCATCAGAATGCAAACAAACAGCAAATTAGGCAAAGTTTGACAAGCTATGCAAATGTTATATTACAGCAAACAAAGGCGGTACAAGTGCAAATTGTACTGTGTTCGAGGTGAATGTTACGGCATCCGGTTACCTTTTTCTCTCTTGGTTCGGTTGTCTGTAAGGCAAGCTTTGGCTGTTCCCAGTGCCACCAGCCATTTCTGCCTCTCTGCTGCATTGATGGCTTTGAGGTAAAAGTACTGCTCTCCTGGTATGGTCAGGTCAAATCGTGTCGAATCAGAGGAATGAACTAAAACACAGCAGCAAGCAAGCAAGCAAGCGTGTGAGTACTACATGTAAAAGACACTCGGCTGCCACATGAGCTTACTTTCATTGTAATCCCAATTAATCAATCAGCTGTTTGGTTTATAAAAAGTCAGAAAACAGTTACAAAAGTGAATCAGCGTTTCCATAAGTCAAACATGACAAAAGTGTCCACAAAACAAAGGTATCTTACTGTCATAAATGAGGTGAAAAAAACAGAAAATGTTCACATTTAAGAAGCTGGAGTCAGGGAAATTTCGACTTTTTCCAGTTATCAGAATAGTTGTTAATTGACAACTAATCGATTAATGGCTGCAGCTCTAAAACACACTTGCACAGTTTAACATTGCACAGGACAAAGTGGATTCCACAGACCTTGGATTTCACAAACTGAAATTTTAATGCTGCCTTTGCAGCCCTTCCAGGCATCTTCTTGAGAGTCATAGTAAGACAAAGTTCCTCCTTCAAGCACAAACCAGCGAGGTTGCCAACCTGAAAAACACAGTAAAATGTATATCGATGCCATAGCGTTGCTGTTTTATCGTATTTGATTGAAGAGTGTCAGAGAGGTCATGATACACTGGCATTATCTAGCCTCATAAACTTGGAGAGAGTTGCTTACGTTATGTTAGCAGCAACTAATCAGTTGTTAAGTCAGATTATAATGACAGATGGCGGAAACTAACGAAATTAGCCACCGGTTAAGACTTTATAAACACGGCTAACCTCTACGTCGTCAAACGGCTAGCTTAGCAAAGTCAAACACCGCTTGTTAATTTGAAAGTGGCGAAGAAAGCTCCAATAGTTGAAAGCAGACGGTAGCTAACGTTAGCTTCCCTGCGTTAACGTTATCAGAAACTCAATTCAACTGAGCTGTGACGCTGTCATGCTAGCTAGCTGCCTCAAAACGAGCGCTATAACCGAAAACACGCCACGGCTGCGGCGTTTACTCACCACTTATGTAATTGGTCCACTTGTACAGCACGCCTTCCATTGTTTAATTATGTGTTTTTCCCGTTCATTACTTGTTTATCATAGCGAGATGCGATGCACAGCTGATTGCGGCGACTCCATCGGGCCCAGAGTGGGATTTGCGGAGTAACGTCCTCGTATTGGCATCTCAGCTACGCAAATAAAAGTGCGCAAACTTTTCCGTGAATCCCATTCGAGCCTATCAACGGAGAAGCCGTTCTCCCCGCCTACGTCACTGGGGCTTAAGTGCTGTGGGTGGGGGCTAAGGTGATTGACATGTTAGAGCACCAATAAAGTAAAGGATACAGATAAAGGGCGGGACCTGGATGTGAATTTATCCAATCATAGACGGAGGAGGGCTGATCGCGGAATAGCGGCTGCGTTGGCTGCAGAAGTTGTCTGCCACGTAGTTGGCATTCTTGTCATGTTTTTAAAGGCAAAATTTTAAATTAGCTTTTTCTTAGTTTTATGAGGAAGTGACCTATTTTCCGTAAAAAAATGATATTTCTTTCTCTCTTTTCGATACTGCCCTCATTGTTTGTGTTTGTCACTGGTGGAAAACTGCCTGAGCCCGAAGTTAAAGTTGAGGTGATACACAAACCCCTCATGTGTTACCGAAAATCAAAATATGGAGACATGCTTCTTGTTCATCACGACGGATTCCTGGAGAGCAATGGCACCCTGTTTTATTCCAGGTAACAAATTATGATAATGCTGCATGCATTGCCGTACAGTGTTGCTCCACTCCCTGTAAAAAAACAGCCACATTGCTTGTTATAGCTGTAAAAAACTACACATCTAATGCACACTGTCAGTATCTATACCATTTCCCATTCAACACTAACCACTTACATACTCTTATAGTTAGTTGACAACTACTAAACCCTGATTACACATACAGCTAAGCCCAAAACTAGTCACAATCATGCCAACTTTTGATTTATAGGGAATTTTTATGTGACTGACAGTTTTTTTTTTTCTTGCTGGTGACATAAACTAATGACAATAGCTGATGAGGCATGATTTTAAACTAATTCTGTTTGTTGTTATATTTTTGCTGAAAATTTCCATATCCAAACCCACATCCTTTGAGATTTTTCAATGCTTTCCACTGCCTCCACTTACATGGGTTGGAATACTTTTGGGCCTTATTGTGGTCATGATATTGCTGATAGTGTGTGATTGATTCATTTATTCTTAACTCCTGGCAGCCGCATACATGGGGATAAAAACCCTGTATGGTTCACTCTTGGGATCCGAGAGGTGCTCAAAGGTTGGGATAAGGGTCTGCAGAATATGTGCACAGGAGAGCGCAGGAAGCTGACCATCCCTCCATCACTGGCATATGGCAAGGAAGGAAAAGGTAACACGGACTATGTATGACACTGTATGACTATGTATGTATCAAATCTGTCGTGTCTTATGTATTCCGCTGTCAGTGGCAGAGCAAAAGGGTAGTTATCTATCACTACCCAGAAACTGTTCCTTGTCTGAACATGTATGGCCCAATTATTACAAGTTGTGAAGTCAAGAGTAGTTTTACAGTGTTTGAGCTGTAGGGGGAAGGGAGTCTGGCTATCATACATAACTAATACTGGAGTGTGTCAGAGGGCTACAAGTAAAAATGTCTTCTTTTTTTGCCAACAATTTCTCTATGGCATTTTTTTCCATACAGATGCATTTTAGCAGCTCTGACCCACCAGGAAATGCTTGTACAGATTTGTAGCAATTCAAAGATTTCTTATTGTATTCACTGAAAAGTTTATAGACAGCATAAAAGTCTACATGTTTTTTTTATATAAATAATGTGTTTATGCATTTTCTTTTTTAATGGTTAAACTGTGTTATCTGGGTTAAGCTGTGGATTTAGTTTAAGCTCTGAAGACTGTAGGAATGAACCTACTTTGAGAGCTCTAAAAACAAATGTTGCTGAACAATGCAAGAACCTGCATTCGAAAGAAAGAAAATGCAAAACAAAAGAACAGTGTGACGTCTCAACCTGGTGGGTGTCCTGCATAGAACAAGGACAATTTAGTCATAGGTGTCTTAGGTGCACTCATCTAATGTAATTGTAACTGTAAATCCATCTATCCATCCATCATCTATACACCGCTTAATCCTCACTAAGGTCGCGGGGGGGCTGGAGTCTATCCCAGCTGACTCAGGGCGAAGGCAGGGGACACCCTGGACAGGTCACCAGTCTATCGCAGGGCCGCACTTAGAGACAGACAACCAAGCACACTGACATTCACACCTACGGACAATTTAGAATCACCAATTAACTTCAACATGTTTTTGGACTGTGTGGGAAGAAGCCGGAGAACCCGGAGAGAACCCACGCTGCATGGGGAGAACATGCAAACTCCACGCAGAAAGATTCCGGTATCTGTAAATATCTTGTGAAATTTATCAGCAATTTAAAAAGCATAGCTTTAAGAAAACTACCATCACACAGGATAAATTTTATTGATTCCTCAGCTAGATACAAATCAGGCTTGGAAGAAGCAAGACATGAAATAAAAAAGTACAATAAGGTTAAAAATAAAGATATATACCTTTCACATGTACAGTTGAGGCACAATGAATATACAGATGCATCCGTTTCAGTTGTTAATCAATTGAGGATTACATAAAAAACGCTTGTTATACTGTGTATATGAGTTCCCACGTTCTTTGACATGATGATCCTGCCTGTATAAGAAAATAAGAGGGAGCCACCAACATCCATCCATGCATTCTTTCTGCTTATCTGGAGTGGAGTTACGGTGGCAGCAGGTTAAGCAGGTAATTCCAGACGTCCCTCTCCTTAGCAAGACTTTCTCGTTCCTCCGGGGAGATTCCAAGGTGTTCCCTGCCCAGATGAGATGTGTATTCCCTCCTGTGAGTTCTGGGTCCACCCCAGGGTCTCCTCTCAGTAGGAAATACCTGGAAAACCTCCAAAAAGAGACACTCAGTCGTCACCCTGATGCTCGACCTGCCTCAGTTGGCGCTTTTCTATGCTGTTAAATAAAAATCAACAGTTTGGCCTGCAGCAATTTGCCACACAGAACAAAAATACTGTTCACTGTAACGTATCTTTTACGTTTTTGTTTGCTTAAAGGCAAGATTCCTCCCGGCAGCACCCTGGTTTTTGACATTGAGCTCCTGGAGATCCGAAACGGTCCCAGATCACATGATTCTTTCCGGGAAATGGATCTCGATGATGACTGGAAGCTATCCAAACAGGAGGTGTGAATTTCTTCTTTTGCTGCCTTTTCTGCATAAAGATTACACATCTGTAACATATTTATATACCTGGAGAGACAAAGTTATTATTCTTCTGTCCCCACTTCAGGTGAAAGAGTACTTGAAGAAGGAATTTGCAAAACACGGCTACTCGCCCAATGACACGCACCATGAAGTGATGGTCGAAGACATCTTCAACAATGAGGACGAAGACAAAGATGGCTTTATATCTGCTAGAGAATTCACCTACCAGCATGATGAACTCTAAAGGATGGATTTTCTCAGGTTTTTTAAAATGATCTTTTGATAAACTTCCTTGGAAACACAACTGAGGAATTGTGAATTAGTTACTGGACTGTGTTACTCAAAAGTCTTCCAGCCACTTCCTGTTTTTTTTTTTTTACACTACATTTGAGCAGTATTGTCAGACCTCTGGCATCATTTTTAGTTTATTTAAAATGTCATCCGTCATGTATTTATATTTCCATTATTCACGCACTGATAATGTTACCACAAATGCATTTAGTACTGGCTTCTATGTTTCATCGATTTCATGACAGGGATGTTTTTAAAATAAAATTAATTAATGTTTATTGGCTTTTAAATTTATGTCCTGGAAGATGAAACAGCGGTGCATGTCTACTTTAATCACTAGAGGGCACTCTTGTCTTTGGCGTTGGTTTACAAATCTTGACTCCCTACAAACAGTAACAATGCAGTGGTTTTTCTCAGTTTCTAGTGGCTATACTGCTTTTTTTTGCTTGTCAAAATGAGAGGAGTCACACATGCCAGTACATGTTTTAAAGGGTAAATCATGAGAAATTGCAATACAGTATGTCTCTGTAATAGGGCTGGGGCAGCTGCAGTGCTAAATATCCAATTTATACATGTCAAGTCTTGATCAAATCATATTTAATTTATCTTTTCAGTTTTTTTCTATTCACAGTGAGCCTTTGGCGGTATCCAGAATGTACGTTTTATAGGGAAGAAACCGAGAATATTAACAAAAAAAAAACAGCAGTAGAAAGTAGAAAACATTTACTTGAGGCAGACAGATTTTTGTGTAGATAATATTTCAGCAATCCATTCATGACTGCTGTCACACTTCACGCTTCTGTGCACATATTCTACGTAAAACCTCATGTGATGCCACACAGCTGTTGTTAGCTAATGTTTTCCATTAAGCAATGTAAAGTGAATGAGATCATTGATCACTAAACTGGTTCTCAGGATTGTGCCTTTAGTAGCAACGGTAGCTGGACATGCTGGTAAATATAGAGCAACAATCGTGAAACACTGGTGATATAGGAAGTCACAGGATAACTTATATAAGCTGTATAACACATAGAGCAGAGGTAAAGCGTGGTTCAGAGATCAATCAGCAGGCTGGTACTGTTGGAGAGGAAACCAGCTATGCAGCAGTAGCAGCAGCAGCAGCAAGAAGCACCATGTTTCAAAGATCAAAGAAGTCACAGAAACATGGTACTGCTGTCAGTGCTGTCCCCATTCTCCCCTTTCCTTCATACCACTGTCTCCAGAATTTATCTGATGATGCAGTAGAAGTGAAACAGGAGGCAATCTCTTTCCTCCCACTTACAGTAAAGGCCACTAACAAGCACGTGTCACCAAGTTTTGAGCTGCAAAGTTAATATCCCGTTGGTTTAATTACGTATATGCATGAAAATTACACCGTAAATGAGTAGCACCACGTTTTGGTCACTAACTCATAACTCTCTGAGGATGTATGAGAAATAATGGAATCAATGTTTTGCAATCTTTTCCTGCTTAAATTACATTCTGGAGAAGGCAGGCACGCACCAGTGATATTCTCAGAAAACACAAACAGGGTTCAGAGAGAGAGAGAGAGAGGAGCGTTTGAGTAGCAAGACAGGATGTGAGCGCTGTGGTGCAACTATGCCTTCTCTCACAAAGAACACCACTGTTTTATTTTTTTTTTTCTCGCTGCTCCAGTTCATCTGGTATCTGGCAAAATTCCACCCTGCTTGACCACACCTACAGGTAAAACTGGACCAGTGGGAGGATCACATGGCAAGAGGGAGGTTGAGTATTAGATAGGGCATTTGAGGGAAAACAAGATTTTAAAAAAAGGGAAAAAACATGGCCTCTTGCAGTCACATACCTTTGATTCAGAGTGCTGCAGGTTACAAACAATCTTCACTGGTGCAGGGCTGGGCCACTTCTACAGCAACGTGGAGACTAACTATAACAGGCCACACTATTTTAAACTCAAGTTTTACATCCTTTAATAAATCATCATTTCATAAATTACATTTTTTTTTTTTTTTTTAATTGCAACTGTCACAAAAATACATTTTGATAAAATGGATTTGTAGAAAGGATTCAATTAATCACATTAAACCAAGTTTAACAGGAACATGCCTGGTACAGCTTTTGGATGACAGTTATGGCAAAGTGAACGGCAACTCCTGCTGCACCGACTGATGTTACTGGCATTAAAAAAAAGGAAGAGAAAAAAATGGACCATAATCTTATGTTTCCACTTGAAAATATTCCAAATTACAGCATGTAAGCTGAAACATGGCAACACTGCCAAGCAGCATGTGTACAGAGGAGCTTTGCTCATGTGCTGCAGTCTCCAATAGGACATGAATCAATGACCAGTGTTTAATCCACCTGCGTTTTTCTCACGTAACACTAAATACACTGAAAATGAAAATGGCAGATCCACAAACTTCTTTTCCGACTCTTCTTTTCTGTCGTTTTTGTATTCAGACATCAATTCAACAAACATCATTCTCAACAGCATATATTACTGTAACGAAAGAACAATGCAGAGTAAAAGACAAAAATAAACATCTTTACAAAATAAATCTTTACACTCGTTGCAAAAAAGTGCTTCATGAGCGCCCAATTGTCTCTTTTTTTGTTTGTTTTTTTAGCACACAGTTAAAATATTGATCATTGCATGATCTGATTTTTATCTACAACGAAAGGATCGTTTCATTTCATTTTGATACGGCGTTCCCATTAAAATCAAAATATGCACACGTCACGTGGGAGCATCACCTTGGCTGATGTGTGAGGTTTAGTTTACACAGCACCAGGCCTGATTGACGATCCGCTCGGGGCAGATTTCTCACAGCGCTGTCATCATGACTGAGTCTACGCCAGGTAGGTTTGACAGTCTTCAAATTAAAGAGAGGAGGGAACAGCTCTGCAGGTAGTTAAAGACAAAAAAAACCAAAAAAAACAACAGGATCCTTTCCCAATATAAAAATGATGGTCTTGGCTGAGTGTGGAAACCCAAAACGTACAGTAACAAGACAATGTCAACACCTAACCAACTGAAATTAAAACCGTCATGCGAGAAAGAAGCGTTTCAAGTTCAAACTGTTAGAATCAAGGTGGCTTGAGTTTCCTCTTTGACAGAATAAATAGTTGTCCTTCTCTTTTTTTTTCTTTTTTCTTTTTGACAAGGCCCGCATGCCTCGGTCCTTAGAACAAGACATCTTCATGCTCTATTATAAGCTGCACCACCAGTTTCTGCTGCCTCATGTCATTCAGGGTTGTCAAGGCGTTGATCTCCGGCGGCTGCATGAGAGTCGGACCGAAGACGATCCCCAGGTTCTCAGCGTTCATTAAATTGTCCTTTTCGAACATGGTCACCCTGTGAAGCACAAGATAACATGAGAAACAGAGCACAGTGAGGGGAAATCCAAAAGCTGTTGAATGATGCTGACTATTGCTTTCTTTTTTGGGTCATGTGCTGATCCACCTCAGGAATAAACTCAAGAATAATGCTGGCATTATTCAATAGTTCTCAGTTTGTTTCCATTCTAGGTCTCAACAAATCCCATGAAAAGACTAAAACCAATAATGCGTTAATCCACCTATCGGTACTTTTCGACTCCCGTGCTCTTTCTGTTGCTCGCAGCCAGAAACACACAAATCCTTAAAAATGGATTACAAGCATAATTTTTTAAATAAGCTAAATATTTTCCTAAAACTGCAGGGCTTTGGAGTTTTTAGGAAATGCTACTCAAAGTAAGTCAATTTTGTGGCTTTGTGACCTTTTGACCTGTGAGCGGTTTCCAGGCAGTTTTGCTTCTGTCATATTTTTACTTCAATTTTTTTTACTGCAGTATAAATTCCTGCACCTCTGTGGAAACAGCATAAACATGGCTAAAAGCAGAAAGAGCACCAAATTATCTTTTGGGCAATGCCATAAAAAATGAAATAACCTGGAATTACCATGTAAACGTGTGTGTTGCCAATACTGAGAAAAATGTTGGCTTGAGATACTATAGATATTTTACCACTTTTTACATTTTTATTTTGTTTCCCCACTTGTCTACACTATTATCTTCATATACACCGCCTGCAGTTCAGCCGAGAAGCTGTTGATCTGGTTACAGCAAATTCTTTATTAGGGGCATTTTTTTTTTTAAAAATGAGGCGTGCAGAATAAAGTGATTTTGAGGAAATATCACAATTTTAAGCTTAACTTTTCCAAACTGCATCGCACACGATAAAGATAAGATAAGATAAACTTTATTTGTCACATACACAATTATACACAGTACAATGTGTAGTGAAATGGGCTTAGTACCTGCATCCAGTTGCAGTAAAAAATAAAATATAAAAAATAAAATAAGATTCCTAAAGTGTTCAAGAAATAAATCAAATGAAGCAAATGGAACATGTAAGATGTATTGTACAAGGTGCAATAGTTTAAGGACCATCGGAATTTTAAAAAGCCGTTGTTCCTCTGTTGGTGGGTTTAAGATTCAGCGAGTTAAAGTATTTTTATTAGCAGCATAGTGTATGTGGTATTAACTCAAAAAGAACCTACATTGCCCATGTTCATGAAGTAAAATGCAACCCAATGCAACTGCATGACTCACTGGTATGATTTCATAGTTTAAGGCCAGCAGAGTAGCTGTATGGCACAGACACTGTTAATTAGATCAACTCATTGTTGGTCTTTTCATGGGAATTGTAGACATAACTCTAAGTGTAACTGATCTGCATGCATATGAACTAACCTCTTGAGGTGAGCCATCAGGTAACGTAAAGTCTCATAGTGGGCCGGGGGGAGCTGCAGCAAACCTTCGTGGATTGCCTCCAGTCTGGATTCAGCATTTGGAATTTCTACATCACATTAGCAAAAACAATTAGCATCATAGCACTGCAGGGCAGTAACCACCACAGTAATGGTATGGAATTGCCCAGAGAGCAGCTCTTACTTGCAGCTTGAATAAATTTGGAGTACAAGTCAAATGTAATGACTGGAATGGGGAGGTCTCTTAAGTAGAGCTTCAAAGCACCAGCAATTATGTTGATGTCTGCATAGGCACTGGCACTGATGTCAGCCTTCTCGCCATCTGTTGACGCGAAACACAAAATGTATGACCGAGATGTAAATATATCATTTGCTATGAGTAAACACAGAATGTTCTTGTTGTGTAAGCGGCGAAATAACGGCTCAGCGACGTTTCACGCTGCACTGCAGCGGAAAGAAGGTTCCCATTTAAAAAGATAAACTCGTGCACTAAAGCCTCAGACACCGAGGTCCTGGGGCAACGAATGATGTCGTCAACAAACCTCGGTCAAAGGCGAGCCTCACGTCCTCGATGTGCTCCGAGAAGCCAGACACTCTGTAGAGACCTTCAGATTTCATACCTGAAAGAGAAAGTCAGAAAGCTTGTCTCTGTTTTTTTGGTAACTTTTTTCCACCTGCCATTCACTTCTAATGCAAAAAAAAAGGACCAATGGCATTTGGAAACACTGTGAGCTTGTACCGGCAGAATAATTTTTTATTTGTTTTCATATGTGTCTACTCCATGCTCTTTGTGTACACAGCCTGCAGTTCAGTCCAGTTTACCCACGTCTGTCACGGCTAAATTACCAATAGTTTCACAGTGGCACAGAGAAGCACAGAGTTTTTAGCTTTTTGTTTGTTTTTTTTGTTTTTTTAGCAAATTTGTAGATAACAGATGCAGGATAAAATGATTTTGTATCGTGATTCTAAGCTTTTCCAAACACAATTTGTTTCAACTGCCATCAGATTGTTGAGAATGCGTCGCTTCTTTCTGTTTTTACAGTTTCTGGCTCTGACATATAACGCTATTTTATGGATTTTTTCCCAGATATTGTGCTTTTAAAAGAAAAAAAAACCTACTGGCGGGTTTGGGGATTCAGAGGGTATTTTTAGCAGCAAGAGGGTGTATGTGGTATTGACTCAAAATAACCTCAAGAAGCTTCTGTGCATTTCTACTGCAACAGAAAGGATTTGTGACATTTGCAAACACTGCAAGCTAATATTGGCAAAATAATAATATCCAATCAAATTCTGCTCTAATTTCATTGTAGTAATTGGCTGATTGGCTGCATTCTACCTCTCAGTTCTATCTCTCGGATGCACATGTCCACCACCATGGGTCGGGTCGTGTTGTGAGCTTTGACAAGCGTGGTGAGGTCACAGCTGAACACTTTCTTTATCCTGCGCAGGTCCGGCTGGCAGTCACTGGGAACCAGTTTGGAGCACTGTTTGTGTACATTCAGGCCGCAATCTAACGAAAAGCAAAAGTGAGATAAACACAGTGAAGAGCAGAGAGACACAGATTAGTCTCACCCCCCGACGATAGCACAACCATCACTGCAGGCTTAAGACAACAGTTTGAAAAAGGTTTCCCAGAGTCGGTGATAAAGTGCGCTGTCAGACGGCACAGCTGCGGCTAAGCTGTCTCGGAGTGCTGCGCCAAAGGTAGATAACGGCGGACATAGCAGCATGGGCGGGGGGGGTTCTTGTTGTAGTTTTAGTCGCATGGAGTGTGTTGGACAGCTGGCAGTGTGTGCGCGGGTCTGCTTGTGTGGCAGCACAGCTTGGAATGAAAGGTTTTGAAGGGCCGCACTTGTAGACGGGGGGTGTTCCTCTGAAACCGTTCATCACAGGGACGTTTTTACTGCCCGAGCGGCGTTAACGCTGGACTTGCTGATTGGGGTCTCAACAGAGAGAATGTAGCAGGAGATAAGGAGAAAAGAAACAAAAAACACAGAGGGCCAGACAGCGAGTGAGAGAGGACAAAGAAGTATCTCCTGCTTCCCATAGCACATGGGGTGTCTGATGATACCAGTGTTTGCCTCTGGCTTATCAGCATGGCAAATGTCTCAACAACAAACACTCTGTTCCGAGCGACCAAATCTACCAGTGTGCACATCGGTTTCACGACGAACGAATCCTGCAGGGATCCGGAAACCCCCCTGCAGCTCTGATACGAAACCAATCACTTGGTTCTGCTGCTCTATTTGCTCAACACTTAACCTGTGTTTGACTTGTGTTTTAATCTTATAATAATACTTATGCATTTACATTTAAATTCTGTCAGCATACTTCATCCTGGCGGAAACGCTCTGCGCAGTAGCACTTATAAAGGGAATTAGAAAACAGCATGTAAAAACATCGAGCTGCTCTCATTTTGTGATTAAATGTTCTTGAGGGGGAAGAGCGTTGAAACAGAGTGACAGCAGCTATGGATGTGATTATATTAAAGTGTCTGCGCCTCACTGGGTTTGAATCTGCTTTTGATGAGTCACTGACAGGAGGATCTCGACTTGTTTGTCGCAGATAGAACAGCAAAAGGGAAAATAACTGGAAAAACTGAACATGCTTTCTTAGGGGGTTTATGCAACTGAAACATGTGACAAGACGGCGTTTGCTACAGATATTACGTGACTTGTGCAATGCTTATGCGGCGTGGTAGTTCAACGTAATCCATGACATGCAGTTTTGTAGTTACCTGAGCAGCGGACACCCTGTGCGATGAGGCCCCACATGAAGTTGGCGCAGTACTCACACCAGTGCGGTCCTCGAAATGTATGCACCTGGAGTCAGAAACAACACTCGTAAACACCTCATATTGCAAATCAGTGTTCAGCCGGACTCTGGTTCCTGCTACACTAGAAACCAAATGAGAGCATTTGTATATACAAGGCAGATTAAAGGATTTACTGTGGTGTGTCTGGCATCTGCTCCTCAGCAATCGGATACATGCAGACAAGGCAAGCCTGAAAGTCAAAATAGCAGATGTAGACCCGCTGTGCACCCTAAAAACGCGGATAATGGAGCCACTATTATGTGCACACACACCTTCTTTTGTATTTTGAATAGGTAGCAGCGGGCTAATGAGTGAGGCAGGTGGCGAGTGCATAGTTTTTTGTTCCGTTCCAGAGAAGAGGAAAACAAAAAAAGGGTGGGGGTCATTATAATCTGCTTGTTAACTGAAACCGAAGATACAGTTTCAAGAATGCTGAGGCGCCCGGAGGCAAAGTATCCCCAAAAATCTCCTTTGTGTATTTAAAGAACTACACCACAGGCTCAGTTCTACTTTGCAACTCTTTAACACTTTTCTACAAAATCGGGAAAAAAAAAATTGGATCTAACGGCTTTAAAATCAATGCTAATCAATGCGTGCTGCTGTTAATGGGTTGTGGTATAGTGTATCCATTAGTTCCCCTCAGTGCATATGGGTGTCAGCTGCATGTGTTCCCATCAAAACAGCAACACACACACACACACCACAGTCTGTGATGGGAAAGGCAAACATCTGAGGCAAGCAAAACACATCTCTAGATCTCTAAAAGCTTAACCACTGCAAAAAAAAAAGAGACAGCTAATATAAAAGCTTTCTATGAGTTAACAAGACAAATTAAACTGAACAGCCACTCTGAAGCCATCAGTCTTTTCTTTTTGACTTCATTCTTTGTGGTAAATAGGGAGCCGCTCACCTTGAAGTTGTGGATCTTTTCGTAGGAGCACTGCTTCTCAGGTGTGTCTTTCAAGGCACTCCGTCGCACCAGAGGTGAGGAGATCTGCGGGCAAGAGGCCAACAGTTTAATAGGCTTCCACAGGAGAGTCCCTTTGCTCCCCAGCTTCACTCCCAGAGCCAAAGCCAGCAGCTCCTGACGCTTCCTCTCCTGCCTTTTAGCCTTGTGGGTAATCAAGTCCGCTCCCAAACCTCCTCTGGTCTCCTCGGTCGCCTCCATGCTCGGCTGGTCGGGTTCCCAGAGACTCTCCAGCTCCTCTGGGGAAAGATGCGGAGGGGAGAAGTGGGTGCTGTGCAGCAGACGCTGCCGGCAACAGCCCAGCGCAGAGGTGGCAGCGACACTCCACTCCCCTCTGACCCAGGAGGGCGACTGGTGACAGCCAGAGCGAGGTTGACTCTGCATCTGCTCTAAATCCAGTGGCAGCAGAGAGCAAAGCAGAGAGTAGGGGGAAGAGGACCGGTAATGGGCGGCCTGAGGGCAGGAGTGTGCCTCAAACAATGGTCCTCTTTCACACGCCCAGAAAGGGGAAGAGAGGGAGCTATAGAGAGAACAGGGTCCTAGATGGGCAGGGGCTGCATGGGAGGTTGAGAGTGAGGGCAGTCGGGCGCTGTCAGAACCGCTTCACACAGCTCAACAGCTCTCTAAAGCAGGATCAATAGTGCAGACACCCTCTTTATAGCACAGAGCACTCTCCCATTAGCGCACTGCCTTCCGGACACACTCCACTTCACTTAACTGGAGATAAAACTCAGCTGCCAGCAGCTCTCGGCCAGCACCGGGGGTCCTCTAAACGGGTCACTCGCTTGCTCAAAGACGGACCCGACACAGACAGAGCTGAGGCTGTGCGAATTCACAAAGATCTTGACCTCCAGCTATGTCAGTCGGCCGGTGGAATTCCCCACACTGCCGACCAGACTGGATCCTCCAGACAGTCTGACTGCAGCCCACTCCTGCCCGTCACAATCTTGGGAGGACCAACGGAGCCAGACCATTAACTGGGATTGGGAGGGATTACCAACAATAATCCCAACACAGGGAATAATCCCGCAGTGGCCAAATCCAAAGGAAAATCCCATAGGAAGCTCATTTGAAGGTCTGCGGCCTTATAGCTTTTTATCAGTGGGGGGCTGTTGCTACGTTCACGCCAAATTTGTCCCTATTAGCTCTGCTTGTAAACAACCAGTGAACAGCAGCACAAAGCTCAAAGCTCCTCTAATTATCAGCAAGCTTTGAAATGAGTTACACAACACTGACAGCAAAAACTACATGGAATGCTATACATGAGAAACCCTTTCTGGCAGTTATTATACTATAGAACAGCTGATTTATTAAGCAGGGGCAGAGGTCGGAGAGCCTGTAAGCATTGGATTTGTGATAGAACAAGCAGAGAGGAAAAAAGACCCAAAGGGCAACTGCAAAGCTGAGATAAAAAAATATGAAAGGATTGGCAGCTTACAGGCTGGGAAGCAAAGTAAAGAAGCTGCTGTGGACTTTTTGTGCAGCAGATTTTTGTCTCTTAGAGCTATGGGACACTGGTTAACCAACTCATTGCTGCACGAGTGACGGGACAGGTGAAGATATTTGTCAATGACATTCTTCTAAAAGACCTATACATACCATACTGCTCTACAACTAAGACTGCGGAGACAGATGAGGAATAGGCAAGAGATATTTTAGCCTTGTGAGGATGCATGGAGGGAGGGAGGGCCGTGCTCTTTGTCTGCAGGCAGATGGCTTCTTGTCTCTTAAAGAAGAGCTTGGAAGAAAAGACACAAAAGGTGGTCACACAACGAGCTCTTTTCAGTGGCTTGGCTCTTTTATTCCCGCCAGGCTTTGTGAGAACACAGCTGAGAGGACTAAGTTATGGGGAGGGGGAAACAGCACAGTGGACCCTGACACAGTAAGACAACAGGATACAAACAGCAACGCGCCAAACAAAACGGTTCCAACAACACGTCTAACAAATAGAAAAATAGGCGCACTGTGAAGGGGTACAGCAGTCAGGGATATTGAAAACGGAGGAAATTGCCACTTTTGTTTGCAGCAGGGACACTGAAAAAGCATTTTTCTGTGTCTGAGGCTCGAAATAAATAAGCCTGGAAAATGCTGTTTGAAGAGCGTTTTTACATTTTGCAGCTAAAAGATGTAAATAGATGGGTTTTTTCTTTTTGCATTTTTATAGCTTGAGACCTCGGGAAAGAACAGATAATTATCCCAACACAAAACAAGACAATTTGTTTGAAACTCTTTCCAGGGCATGCAAGCGGGGCCGGTCTGTCGAGAGCCCCGACTGAGATTAAACCAGTGTGGTGAGTATCAGGAGCAATGTGGCAAAGAGTTTTAGCCAAGGAGCGAATTCCTGCACATGCGAAGAAACTCAGGAGGTTGATCTCGGTTGAATCAAGTACCCCCTTTCACTTTCTGGGAGCATTTTAATTACAGCAGTCGTGGCATTATATAGGTATCAACCCGACACTGGGTAAATACACATGAATTTCGACCGTACAGTGAAGCTACTGTAGGGCTGTAAGGCCTCAGGGTGTGGCTGTGCAATCGGTAAACACCAAGTTCAAAAAAGCGAGCACAGATTTTGAGCAATCAGGCCGGGTTTATGTGATATCCGAGCAGACAGAAGACAGATTTTCTTTGGGAAGCTACTGGCAGGTGGCTTTCAAACGATGCTCGTCAAAGACTGCCATTATCACAGCTGTCACTGACTAAGATCCTCGTGTATAAAACTTGGCAGGAGGAATGAATACATAGTCGGCTTCACAGATAACTGACAGTCTGACATTTAGCTGGAGACATGCTCCAGATTTAGTTGCCAATGTCGGAGAAAACAGTTCACAAAGTTTCAAATCAAGCTGCAAATCAAACACAGAGGAGCACTGCTGGACACCGAGCAAACACGGGATAGTCTGTTTGTCTTTTGACTTTTGAGAGCAGTTCCTTGCTCCAGGGGCTTCCTAGAGGTTGGCAGTGGCAACTGTAGCACCAAAACCACAACAAATCATCAGATCATTGACTGACCAGTCGTCATTAGGTCAAAATGCACGAATTAAAGGGTCGTATTTCAAATGACAAAACCCCTTTCTTAAGACCGATGATATTAATACTGCAAATGATGCTCCTGCTGACAGGGTTGTCATCAGTCTGTCACTCACTGACGAGCTGCAGACTGACATCTTGAAGACAAAGAATTCCCAAAGCAATAAATCAAAGATGAGAGACATTAAGGATGCGGCTCACGAAATCTCAGAAAAGAAAAGACCAAGAAAACACGAGTTAATAGAAAGCTCTACATGAATGAAGAGCCCCCCGTCACTCCAAAAAGACAAAGTTAAGATTGCCACCGAGTGGAGGGACACTTTGGGGATTTTTTTTTTTCTTTCTCCAGCACGAAAACATAGCATTCCTTGTTCCTCCTTGATAAATCATTCACAGACTTTAATATGGCAACAGCTTGTGAGTGCCAATGAATGCAATGTGTCTCAACCAAGATCAGCGTGTCTGATACGGATGGCAGGCAGAGCAAAGTCCCCAGTCCCCTCGGTCATCATTACCTTTCAGCGGAGGCAATGAAGCATGGCGGCAGTGAACACACCCAGGAGCTACAGGGATAATGTACGTCTCACTCACAGGACAAAGTGTCCTCTCAGAAGCGTTCTCATTCTACTGTAAATGTAGTGGAAATGTTAAGTAGTGCAGAAGTAGATCAAAATCACGGTATTACACGGTGTCTGTCAAAGCACCGGGTACTGTAATTTACATGTGCTGACACTTTTTTTTTACTTCCTAAACGAGAAGCATTGCATAATTCAGGCTTATTATGGATGTTCTTGAAGAATAGTTGGTGACTGAAGTTTTTGGATAAACAAAAGGTGTCTTGGGGCTTTTAATAACTTGAAAACAGTTGGTGGCTGCTGGGCAAGGCTGTTTCTTTATTCTACAAATTCTAAATAATAAGCTTCAAGTCTGGTTTGAAGTGAATAATTTAAACAAATACGCTGCATTCTTTGGAATACTGATTGGGAACAACGTCACTACAATGATACAATGTGGACGTGTTCTTTTTGCAAAGTTATTTTCCCAACAATGATGGTAATAGTATAAAAGGTCCATTACAATGAAACTCTTCTTGCATAGCCGGACCAGACTATCCCCACAGTTGTTGTGTCAGTGCTGAAAAATGGTCTGGCTGCACCTCATTATCATTCTGTTATAGAGGAAAACGCTCCGGTGCGCTTGTATTTCTCTAAACCAATCACAATCATCTTGGAAGGTGCTTAACGCAGGATGCAGCAATGGTGTTCCTGCAAAGTAATGACAGGAAGAAGTTTGGTTTGGTTCAACTGGCGAACATTGTCGTTAAATGGCTAATTCACTGAAGCAGGCCTGCCTCATTGCATGATCCAAATCCTTTCAAAACTTGTGATTTTGAGCTTGTAGGTTGGTGCTCGGAGGCTTGTGTTGAAAAGTAACATGCAGAAAACCGCGTAAAATGCAGTGTGGAAATGGCAGAATTATTCCCGTGGTCTGGACCTAGATCCGGTGAGTCAGACTGGAGTAGTCTGACATTTTTAGAAATGTGCAGTCAGGTGAGAAGATCGATACCGCTTTCATGGAATCTCTGCTGGTTGCCTGGAAACCTCGCGGTAACAACAAAACTCAAGGAAGTTTTTACGTCCAGCCAAGAAGCAGTCTGGCACGTCGCCCGTAGGGACCTGTCATTGTTACACGTTGGCTTTTGTATGGCTGAAATGAATGAGATATAATATTTTCATAAGTTAGCTTTAGAGGTGTGGACAGAGCCAGGCTCACTGTGTTGGTCTTCTATTTAGCCACAGAAAGTAGATCTACCCATCCACTTCCATTCACAAACCAGCATGTACAGAACTGAGCAAACTTTGATGAAGGTTTTAAGAGAGCACCGATTCTCCTCAGTGCTTTTGATCACAGTTTTTCAAGGCACTTGGCAGGTAAACTGTTAAATCGTGGAAACTTGACTTAGATTTTCTGTGGATTTAACGCTGTGAAACTTAAAACCTGCCAGCGGGTGTGAAAGACATATTATCTCTAAGAAATTCCCCAAATAGTTCAATTTATCAGAGGGGAAACCATGAAAACAGAGAGAATCGTTGGAATTTGCATCCTGCTGCCCTCACCATGATGCCTTCTGTTACAAAAGGACAATAACTTCTAATAACTTGTTTAACTGTAAACTAAATTTTAGAATTCATCCTACATCCACCCAACCAGTCGAGGCAGATGGCCGTCCCTCCCTGAGCCTGGTTCTGTCGGAGGTTTTTTTTCCTCTGCGGGGGTTTTCGGTTCCTTCCCATTGTTGCAGACTGCTTGCAGACTGCTGAAGCTTGTAGGGAATCCAGATGTTTTTGATTGTTGGGTGTTTCTGTCTCTGCCTTTGTGAAGCGCTATGAGATGACTTGTTGTTGTAAATATGTGCTATACAAATAAAATTGAATTGAATTGAATTGAATTGAAATTTTCAAGTATTTTGGTGTTAACTAATAATGTGTGTCGTGCTGGCCATCAGGAAGCCAAATCTAAGCTAAAAATTGTGATAAAACTCCTTTTATTTTTTAGGTCTCATTTAAAAATTCACCAGAAATAAACTTTTTTTTTTTTTTTTACCAGATTCTTTAAAAAAATTTTAAAAAATCTGTACTCTGTACCACAACGAAGAAGCTATGTTTAATCAACACTTATGTGGCAAATATTCTGGAAATTTTTGGGCTGAACTGCAGGCAGTGTTTACACTGAGCAGATAGGAGACAGGTGTGGAGACAAATAAAAACTGTGATCCCGGAACACTCATTGTTCCGTCATTGATAACACCTGTTCATGTTGATTCTAAGTTTTTTTTCACTTTTTGTAGGATAAATCAACTTTCATTTCCTCTTTTTACATATTTATAACCTTATCATTTTCTTATACTGCATGTTTGAGTTCTCTCCAATGCTATTCATGGTTGGGCTGTTTTCATTGAGGTGCAGGACTTTATATTGCAGTGAAAAATGAGCAAAATAAAGATGCGAAAGGTGCAAAAAAAAAAAAAAAAAAAACACGCCTGGAAAGGTTTAGAGGGTTAAACTGTGTCAGCATTTTCTGTCTCTTCATGTGGGAGGGAGTCATAGCATGTGTTGCTGGACTCTTTGTTTTTCTTGCTGTATGAGTCTGGCTGGCTATAATTGGAGTTTTTGAATCTGGGACCCATCAGATGCCTGTTTGATGATGTTGTCTTACAAAGATGAAAACTTTGCACACCCCAGTACATATGGAGACTGTAGACATACAGCTACAGCACAATCTACAACAACTCACCCTTTCGTCTCTCTGAAATGTGACCCTACGCGGCTCTGTGCGTCCCCGGTTCAGTCTGTGCACCATTTTGTCCTTGAGCAGCGACGTGTAACCGAGATGCTCGTAGATGGGGTTGGTGGTCATTTTGGCGATGTACTCCGCCGCCTTGGTCTCGATGTAAAGAGTGATGAGGGCGTCAGTCACGAGGTCGTGGACCGACTCGAACCTCTTCTCCCCGACAAAGTGCTTCCCATCATAAAACAGTCTGTAGTTGAGGGTCTGGTGCCCAAACCTGGATTGAAGATTCAGGGACAAAGATGTAAGGATTTGGAGACGAACAGGTTTGGAGTGAGTGGTGCTGCTGATGGAGATACTGATGCCGTTGGTACCTTAAGGCCAAGGTGTGTGTCCCTGGCTGTCTTTGGCTCTCTCTGATGAGGTAAGCACCCTCTGCGCCCGCCAGCAGCTCATCTGCATAATCTCGAGAGATCATGCCATGAAATCTATAAAAACAAAACAAAGCAAAAAAAAAGCAGTACGTATCTTCCTAAAATGTGATTTCAATCTAAAAAAAAAAATCAGATTGACAAACAGAATGTTGAGCTCTGAGCATCTTGCCAAAGCAAAGGGACACACATTCACATAAAATACATATCCACCCACTTAAACTCCAACCACCATCTGATGCCAGGGCAATAATGATAAATAAAAGCACTCTCTGCCCAGTAATATTTGAAAAAAAGAAAGGCATTAAAGAAGATGACAGTAATTAAGTCGCACTCACTCTCTGCCATAGTATTTGGGTCTGCTCTCCATCTGTAAACCAGAAGAAGAATTATTGGCTGCAGCAATACGATATGAAAGCTCAATTAAATAGCTTTTGCAAATTGTTCTTACAGCCTCGTGTGAAAGATAAAAGACTCCACGCCACACGACAGATTATCTCCATCTGTACCCCTTGTGCGTCTATTCGTGGTAACCAAACCATAAAGCCAAATCACAGAGTGTGCAGATGAATTAGAGCCAGTGCAGTAAAACGGCTGGTGATAGATGGCCAGCTGGAAAAAATTAATATTAATCGCGTTGCTGTGTCTGGATTACAACTCTTGCAAAACATATGGCAACGTTTAAAAAAAATAATATGTTGAATATGATATAAAATAACAGACATCACTGTTAAAATTCTCTTTCACAGATTTGATGTTTTCCAGCCTTGTCAAGGTGAATAAATCCAAAGGAAATAACACTGAATTATTTTTTTTTTTACATATCCAGACCCTCTTATTACACACTTTTGCAGATGCTAATGTGGAATATCGCTTATAATTCCCAGTTATGATCATAATGGATTTGGTAATATGTCAAACATCGTTTTGTTCTGAGTTACAGGACAGCCTCTAATCGCACATGACCAGCCCACAGCTTTCATTCTGCTCATCAAAGTGTGGCAAGACTCAAAATAGGATGAGACATGCATCGGTTCTGCTGCTTGTACAATAGAAGACTGACAGGACTCTCAGCGGAGGCAGTGCAGCAGCTTGTTCCATCAGCTTTATTAACATCGCTGGGAGAATGAAGCTGATGCCGTCCGTCATTCTAAAGTGCCCCTTTACGCACTTTGCATCCGGCTGCGATAATTGTCGTTCTTCTCGATGTTTATTGCTAAATTAGGTTGAGATCTGCGACTGTAACGCATGAGTGACTTCATTCATCTGTCTGGAAGAAGCAACAACCCACCTGTGAGGAGCTTTTCATTTCTGCTTCGCAAATATTGCCAAATTTCTCCACCTAAAATATGTTCCTGAATAAATTTCAGTCATGCACTTAGACGAGCCTGCGTAATTTTCTAACTGTAACACACCATCGAGTTTAAACAGAAAGTCGAGAGGTTGGGGCGGGGGAGAGTTTCGAGAAGCAGAGAGTCACTCCCCACAGGTTACTGATTGGTCTGGCTTCCAGCTGCCAGACTCAATCATTTCTCGGTGAATGTTTTCCAGGCTGAAAGCTGAGAGTAAAAACTGAGATGCAGTGTGACTGTACTCTGGCAGGCTGGTTCACGAAGGGAAAATACTCTATTCTTGCCTTCAAAAAGAAATAAATGGAGGCCAGCAGGTGTTTCAGCTTGGCTCAAACACATGCTCGAGAGCAAAACTGGACATTTTCCGATTAAAAACACAAAATGAACATGATCACAGACGGGATTCATGTATTACTTATATGATAATAAGACTAATGTATGTCCACAATGACACTAAACCTAAATCTTAAAACAGCATTTTATTCATTTGTAATAGCACACCTGAATACGCATGTCACATTACTATTCATGTGCATGCATGTTGCAGTGTAAACGAGTAGAGAGATGGTTGCTTAGCTGTTGAAGGTGTGATGAATCAGGGAAGGACTCATAACGCTGATAAGACCCAATTAGGAAGCAAACGTCTCCCTCTCCACTCCCACTCCAAACAGAGTCTCTGAATATCTTTACTCTGGAAGATGTTTTGTAAATTTTCAGTGACCTTAAAGTGCATTTGTGCGCGGACAGGAGGCCAAAACTCACAGAAAAAAAGCTTTATTTTAAAAAAAAAAACGAGAGGTATATGTGTGAGAAAGACTTCCATCAAAACTTATAGCTTGTTGTCCCACAGAGTCAACTTTTTAGTCTCATCTACACTAATATGAATATTTGGGTCTCTCATCCGCAAGAAATCTGCATTTTAGGTCAGTCAAACTTCCTCTGGTTTATGTGTATTAGAGTGGAAGCGGTGATGCAAAGACTAAGATGAACAATTAATCCGTTTTAAATTGTATTTTTAAACAATGTCACCGGCTAATCGCAAAGGCTGCAATTTAGGACAATAGCTATGAAACAATGAGGCAAATGCTGTAATTTCATTTCATTACATCGGAGCAGATTGGAACTTTCAGGAGTTGTTTATGATGCCTATTGATGCATGGTATCTAATGTTGTAATGCATTACAATCTGCTACTCGGTGATATGTTGACCTGAAGCTGAAAAAAAACCCCGTCAAAAACATCACAATTGGATATTTTACTAAACCATCTGCCGTTTACAGTCAGCAGAATGGCTCTTCTATGGTATCATTGCGGATGTAGACTTTATTTCTCATGTGTACGGAGATATTTCATAAGACAATGGTCATGTGGACAGATTGTTTTTTTTTAAATGGGTGGGAAAGATATCTGAATAACACAATATCCACATTAACATGGACACGGCATCCACTTCTGCAATTTGAGAATTTAATTTAAAAGTTCTAATTCTGCCTGAAGTAGCTGATTAAAGATAACTCTGGCTCTCTGCTGAGAACAGCCCAGGCTGGAGGTATTAGAGTTCTGGGTTGTCCGCCGATCCCTCTGTCCTGTTCTTATGAATGTGATCCCTCTTGTAAACCTGGAGGGAATTTTTTCACATTTGGCACAAACGGTACTTGGACTCGAGGATGAACTTATTAAATTTTAGCGGTTGAAGGTCACTCTGGCTTCACATCCATCCTATTTTTACGAAATCAGAGACGCCTGGAAGGAATTACTTTTAAATCTGGTACTAATGTGCATTTAAAGTTGAAGATTAACTTATTTGAATTCGATGGTCAGTGGTCAAAGGTCGATGTGAGTTTTTAAAAACACATTTTTGGGCATAACCCAAGAATCCATTTGGTAATTATGACAACATTTAACACACTGTCTAAGAGGATAAAATGATAAAGTCATGACATGTTGTATCCAAAAGGTCAAAGGTCAGGTCCAGACCATAGACTGTATAAAAGATGGACGTAGCAACCGGCCCTGAAAAATGAAGCCAACCCGGAAGTGTCAAAAACCTGCAGTATCACTACGTCCGCTAGTCCTGGCTCCAAAAAGCCCTGGCTCCCATAGACTTGAATTGGAAAAGAAGTGATCACAGATCACAAAATACCGCATTCCTCCAGCTCAGGATTTTTTAAAAATTAGTTTTCATGGTCAAGTCCAGAGATCAGGTGGCCAATCTGAAAATAAATCAATATGGAATTTTTAAAAAATCGTCAAAATTTTGAGGGGGCGTGGCTGGCTTGATTGACAGTCGGCAGCGACCATACAGACGAAGCGAGCAGAAGGCGGTAAATGTGGGCGGGCAGAGAGGGCCCGCCTCTCAATCCGTCTGACCAATCACTGCTCCTATGGCTCCGCTCCCTCCGACGATTTTTGCGTCACTGGCTCCAAAAATCCAAGATGTCAACCAGGAAGTAGCAAAACCCTGGCTTCATTTTCTCAGTGCAGAAATCAACGGGTGACGTCACGGTAGCTACGTCCATCTGTTATACAGTCTATGGTCCAGACAGACATGTATGGACTGCTAAATGAGTGGTCTGCGGAGGCCTACAATCACAAGGTGGCAGTTGTAATTTATTAAACAAATAACACAGGTTTGTTTAATACATTTCATGTGTTTGGATCTGAAGTTGTTTTGCTTTTCATGCGTGACACATATATATGTTTTCGCCTCTGGACTCCAGAAAGCTAACACTGGCGTTTTGGGTTATTTTTCCACATTTTACAAACTGAACGGTTAAGAAAATTCTCAGTTCAGCCTTGCACAGTAGCCTATTGTATAAAAAGTCTCAGATGCACTGACCTCCTGAGGACATGTGATCCTCTTTGGTCTTGGCGCCTCCTGCTGTAGCTGGTACACTGTTAGAGAAACATGCATGTTAATGAAGGCCCCTTCAGCTGTACACAGCTCAGTGCCAGTTGTAATTTCATGCATATTGCAGATTCGCCACCAAAAAATACACAGTTAATACACAGTTCAGAGGAAGGGAACAATATGTTGCAGCAGCAATTACACAGAGGACTCTTCAGGACATAAAACAATATTCACTTGATTGACTTTAGCTCGGCTTCTGACCACTGCTCTGAGTGCAGAGGTAGAAAACGAGCCATTAGCTTGTGTACGCAATGATAAGCAGTGAGCGGTTTACATGACAGGGGCCATATATCTGCAGTCCATTTGTGTGAGTTAGGACCCTTTACGTAAAGTGCACTTATAACTGCACACATTCTTTTAGGCTTCAAAACGAAGGTAGTTACACTTACATTTGAACACATGGTGCAAATCCAAGCTTCTAAGTATTGGATATAGTTTAAGTGTTGGGAGAATTGGAAGTAAACCAGTGAAGCAGAGTGAAAATGGAAATGAGAGACTTGTGGCAGGCAGAGTAATCACCACAAATATCTCAGCAGCCTGCCAGAATTACTATATTTAATTAGCGATTAAAATGTGAGAGACACTGCTGCTATTTCTGCTTTTTTTTTTTCCAGAGCCGGATGTCTGTCAGGATAGAAATATTGCCACAATGGAAGAATCAGTCTGGTTTCTTTTTCTGTGTCCAATTTTTAATCCTTTGTGGGAATAAAACAGCAGTTTCTCTTTTGTTTGACAAACCACATAATAACCGCAATAATTACAGAATAACAATCTTTCCTGTTCATACTGTAACACACTCACTGCTATGTTTTGGAAACCTAGCAAGTTGTGGGTGAGGACAGAAGACTACAACAGTGTCCTCATTACCAACAGCCGGTGCCGGGGCAAAGAAATCGCTGTGTGAGGCTGAGCTAAGTCTTCACCGCAGCAGATTCTCCAGGCAGGAGGAAGGAAGACTCCTGACTGTGAATTTTCATGTCTTTTTTTTTTTTTTTTTGTCAGGCTGACTTAAGCCAACCAGTGCAGATCTGGACTTCATCCATTCCTGTGACACAGAGACCTCTAAAAATATCTCAGCAGAGGACCGGAGAAGACCTCAGAAAAGCAGCCCTTGTTGTAAAATTACATATGACACATTTAATTACAGGAGAAGACACAATTCCCAGCTGAACTGATGTGCGCTCGGCCTCAATAAATGCATCAAATATATTCTCAGGAGTCAAAGCATTTCCTCCCGCTTGGCAAAAACGTTGTATAATGAGGTGGGTGTTCTGAGGACCCCGTTTTTAGCTGAGCCGCTTTGCAGGTAGAAAATCTTGTTTTTCCTGGGTGCCGGTAACCTATTTTACTGGGAGATCAGGAATCCGCTGCTTTGCATTCGTGCATGTGTAAATGCGTTCTGTGGGCGAGCGTGCTTGTGCCTTTTTGTGCATTTTTTGGAACCTGCACTGCATCTAATTGTACTACGTGCAACAAAACCTTCAAAGCGCAGAAAACGGCTGTGTATAATTTATAGAACGCAGATAAATGTGCAGTTATTTAAAGAAGCACACTAAAGGGCAGAGTCAGGTTAAGGCAGTGATAATCAGCATATAAAATGAATTAATTACTCACAGTAGGACTTCCATATGGGCGGCTGATAATCCTCAGGGTCTGTAAAAACACAAAAATAGATTTTTAGTTATAACCCCACAGTGGTGTTAATAGACTGCCCTGTTTTCTCTCATTAAAAAACTCCATTTTTGTCTTTTTTCCCAGTGGATTGAATGCAAGCCCTTTACCAGTTATGTCACCGCTGTTTACCTCTCTGTTATAATTATGCGTGTGGCTTCACGCTGTGCAGCTGCCTCTTGAGATGCACCAGAGAATACACTTCTAATCAGTGTCTCCGCTTCAAGGACAATCGATATAGGTGTCGGCGAGTTTTCGCTAAACATTGTGTCGGCGCGCGCCCCGTCTATATTAACCACCGGCAGGAAAACACAACATCTCCACTCCAGAGATACAAACACGCCAATCAAAATTAAGAGAAGTAAATACATTTTAAATCTCAACCACCCACAGCAGGACCACCTCGGGGGAAATGTGGTGGCTGAGTTATGATTATGTGAACGCTGGCGCTGAATTATAGGATGGAGTGTGCTTTTATATTAGCTCAGGAGGAGCAGGAGAGGTGATGGAGTAAATGCCCTGTAGCAGGTTATCATTTACTGCAACTCCTACTGAGTACAGTAATGACTTGTAATATTTTCAGAGCATGTCAAAATTGTGGCGAAATTTTATATTAAAGTAATATAACAGGCTGCCTGTCTTGGACATAGATTTTGTTGGACTACTGGAGGGACACGCAGTAAATTTTAAGCACGTAAATTCCTGCATTGTGGTGAATTTTCATGCACAAATTTGTGCATTTTTTTGCACCAATTTATTGCAGAAATTTATGTAAAGGATGATGCAAAATTCAAGCACAATGAGTAAATGTTATGGCAGGAGCAGGGGCCAGACAAATGTTCTAAATATTAAGGGAGGGGTGCCCCGGTAGCTGAACCGGATAAGACAGCAACCCATATACAGGGGCTTTACTCGTGGGTTTGTCTCCCGCTCACAGCCATTTGCTGCAGGTCTTTCCCCATTCTTCTCCACCTTTCCTGTCTCTCTCCTGCTAATAAAGGCAAAAAGCCTGTAAAAGAAAAATATTTTAAATGTATATATGGGAGAAGAGCACTGTTGCCTCGCAGCAAAAAGGTTGCCGGTTCGCGTCCCGGTGAGGGCACCGGAATCTTTCTGCGTGGAGTTTGCATGTTCTCCCCATGCAGCGTGGGTTCTCTCCGGGTTCTCCGGCTTCCTCCCACACAGTCCAAAAACATGTTGAGGTTAATTGGTGATTTTAAATTGTCCGTAGGTGTGAATGTGAGTGTGCTTGGTTGTTTGTCTCTAAGTGTGGCCCTGCAATGGACTGGTGACCTGTCCAGGGTGTCCCCTGCCTTCGCCCTAAGTCGGCTGGGATAGACTCCAGCCCCCCATGACCCTAGTGAGGATTAAGCGGTGTATAGATGATGGATGGATATGGGAGAAGTATCCTCTGCATTACATACAGTTATGTTTGTTACTCATAATATAATAATAATGATGCAGAAAACATTGTAAATGGTCTGCGCTTTACAATGTGTTTCTTATTCACCCATTCACACACACATTCATGCATCAATGGTGACAGAGCTGCCATGCAAGGTGCTGCCTGCCACTGGGGGCAACTTCGGGTTTAGTATCTTGCCCGAGGACACTTCGACTGTGCAGGGGCGGGGGATCGAACCGCCAACCTTGCGATTGGAGGACAACTGCTCTACCACAAATAACACTAATGTCTGAACTTTAGTCACAATAGTGTTTTTCTTTCATACAAAGCAAAATGCTATATGAAAAACGGTGACTTGACCCAAATTTCCCAACACAACTTATTTGTTGTTTCTGAAATTTTTAACCACATCTCACAAAGCAGCTTCATCTGCTGAGTGACAAGACCACAGAACAGCGAACCCAAATGCACGACTCCAAAACTCAAAAATGTTCTCAAACTGATTTATTTACAAAAGTATCAACAGAAATATCATTCATCAATAAAAACCTAAACTCAAAGCGTCACTCTAACGAGGAGAATAAAGAACCAAAAAAATCACTCGATTGAGGAAATACAAACTAAAAATCACTCAATGAGGAAAAACTTAACAATCTTTCCAAACAAAGTAACAACTCAAACACTTGATTTAGGAAAGAGGCTGAATGCAAAGTAGCAAACAAAATACAAAACCTGAAGGAAGTTTCCACAAGGGACATGAACGGGGACATCCTGGACATGAAGACGGCTAGAACGTGAAGCTTGACTCAATGACAAGACGAACTGGCACAGGACAAAGGGAGATGCAGACTATATATACACACACAAGGTAATGAGGAACAGGTGGAGACAATCAGGGCTGGGTAGACAATCAGACACAGGAAACACCGGGGAGAGGGCAAGCGCCCTGAAACACGAGGGCAAAGAGGTTTCAAAATAAAAGCCACGAGACAACACAAATACAAGACAAAAAACTAAATAAAACCTAACACCTGGTACGAGACATGACACTGAGGAAGATGGAAGATGTGGAGACTTCAGAAATGCCAAATAAATGGGTTATTGTGCCAAGCTGCTGTTTAAAAAGGTCAGGAATCATCCCTCAAACAACAATGCTCCTTTCGTACTGAGTTATAATCACATTAATTTGAAGATGATGTGATCTATTACTTTGAAATATTAATAATAAGTTAAAACATGGCTCTTGTTCTAGTAACAAATCTTTTGACCTGTTATTAATATTTGGGGCTATTTACAGATGTTAAAAGATGCTGTTTACAGTCAGTGCGTGCCCAGTGTTTTCAGTGTGCCAGTATCCTCACACTGTAACACTATCAATAGTTATTGTCATGGAATAAAAAAAAAGAAAAACACTTTGACTCTTATGACCTTAAAGATCCCCTCTGGTGTTTGTGTCTTGTTAACATGTCCATATGGTGTTTTTTTTTTTTTAGCAGCTAGAAGACATATTAAGAGCAAAATGAGAAGTCAACGTTATGGCTGAGCATTTCCACCTTGAAAATGCAGTGAAGTGATGAGAGTCACAAAAACACAGATTTAGACCTCCGGGGTTTCATGCACAACAAACTTAAAGAACCAATCTTTTTTTATCTTGCAGGGGGAACTTTTTTTGTATTATTATTCTTGATCTGAGTCAGGTTCCGAACACAAACAGCTGAATTACTCCGATATTACACCTGACCATGGTGTAGCAGTTTTACAGTGTTCGAACAGAGCAGTAGGTGAGCTGGTGTGCTCGAGCTGTGGGAGGGGTGAGTGACGAGAGAGAGTCAGGGACTTTGTAGATCTGCACATTTTCGAGGTAGCAATGGATTAGAGTTACATATAAGTCATTTTAGGACAAGAAAAAATTGTATTTCGTGCAAGAAAGTTTATAAATACAGTCGTGACTCGATAATCCGACACTAAATGTAAAACCTTCTTTTATGTCAGATAGGAAGGCTGTCGGATTGTCAAGACGGAGGTCGAGATACAAGGAGGGCTTGATGCTTGAAGGCTCATTTGTTGTTAATTATTGTTCGTAGTTGTTATAATAACTAGTAGGGCTGGTCCCAATAGCACTTTCTGGTCTCTGGATATTCAGGCCCAATTAATGATGAATATCCGAATATTTGGCGCGGTCAGGTGGGACCACTTCTACCCCGGCGGAGCGCTTCCGAATGAGTGGAAGTGGCCGGAACGCACAGGCAGTACTTGGCTGCTGATGCTAGTTTAGGATAGCAGTCACAGTTCTGTTTCCACCATCAGTGGCGGCAGAAGCAGCACGTGGGACATTTTGGGTTGCATGATGTTCACACAGCAGATCACATACGAGTTGCATTTAATTGGAAATGTGAACGCAAAAAAATCGGATTCACAAACAAATCTGAATTGAGCATTAAGTCCTGCAGTCTAAACGTCTAATCTGTCGAATTGTTCAGTCAGATAATACGGTGTTATCCTTATTTGTGATATAAAATGTAATGTTGAAGTCGGAATCCAAGGCTGTCGGTATGTTAAGGCTGTTTTCAATGGGTTCTGTTCGTTTTTCCTAAAAACCTGTCAGATAGCAAAGTTTTCAGGTTGTTAAGGGTCGGATTATTGAATCACGACTGTATGTAACTTTGATACACAGAGAGGAGTTTTTAGTAGTTAAATCAATATCCTGAGAGTGCCTTGTGTGTCTTGATCTTATTTAGATTTGCATTTGTTTAGCTTCTGAATAATCCAAAGCTTCCAGCAGCAGACAGAATTTAGCAACTACCTTAATATATGTAAGCTAAAACTATATTTTCAGGAGTTGGCGGAGACCAAACCAGAGCGAAAAGACGTTTATTTCATAACCTAACCTAACCTAAGAATGTGAGATTTGTATTTAAAATAGATTAAAGCAGCTTTAAACAAATACTATGCAGTAAATTATTATATATTATTTTACTGGTATTAAATGTTATTGGATAGGCAATTACTAATATTACAATTATAATTAGTATTTTTCAAGAGCAGGTGTTATTAATAAAATGAACAATGGCTCGTAAATCAATAAAACGATAAACAGTGAGCCAGCCTTTACAATACCAGGACCTCAACACAAGAAACACATGCTGGTCACTGGAAATACTGAATTCTGTCACAAAAGGGATGAAAAAAGAAGAGTGTTTATACCATGACAGTGAACACAGAACTCTTTTTTCACTGGCTCGTTTCACCTGTGGAATTCTTCTTGTTCGTATCAGAAAGTCAAAAGTGCAATGACAAACGACGAACCCCAATCCTTCATACCGTCCTGAGATCTCTATTTTTGACCCTCCTTGTGTAACACACACACACACATATGTCCTATTGCTAGAAGCAGCGGTCAGCTTTGACCTAAAAATACATAAGCGTTAAGTTTCTCCGAAAATGAGTAAACACATAAGTAATTTATTACGAATAGATGATCAACACATAAATAAATGATAACCTGTGAGCTTACAACAGAGTTTGTTTTTACACCAGGCAGATGATAAATGCACCAAAAAGCTGCTGTGATAATAAATTCATCTGCCTCCTAGATGTTAAGTGTAATATCTCTAATTAAACTGCCTGCGTCATTCCTGGAAGATTCATCTTGACTGTTTGAACAATGAATCACGTTGGTCCAGAAGATACATGTTGTTGATGTAAAGCATTCCTTTGTATTCATCAGCAGATCAGCGCCACACCCCTCTGGCCAGAGGGAAAGGAATAAAATACACCTCAGAAGGGACGGGAACTACTTAAGAACCAGTGAGCACTTGTTGGATACGGGCACAGATAAACTCATTACTCATACAAATGGCAGCGTTAAAACTGCACCACTAAACTCTGTATGTTCCTGTTTTATTTTTGGGGCATTTGACTGACTTAAAGAGCAGAGTGTTTCCTTCATGCTGTCGTCTGTTGCTCGCTGCAGCAGCAGTTTGACTGGAGGCAGGGAGCAACACTATCAACCAAAAAAAAACAAGCTCATCATTGCTTGTCATCATAATAACACAGCTACTGTGAAAAGAGCTGGATTTATTACAGAGCAAAGACAAGACAGGTGCGTGTAATCACAATCTGAATAATTACATAAATGACGCCGAAAAGACAGCTCAACAGAGAAGTGGATGTTCTGAGGGCAAATGTTGTTGCTAAAACCCTTCACAGAACGGCTGCCTGCAAATACAACTAAATAGCCTTCAGGCTTTGTTCCCTGACGTGTGGCCAAGCTGCCTTGGAAAATGTATTGTCCTAACGCTGAGGCTTTGTCACTGTGTACCGCACTGGCAAAAGTCTGAAAGATTTATTCCACTGCGGCTTATTTAAAGAATGTGATTTCATCTGGTTGGCTGCCAAATATTCTCTTTTCGGTCTAATTCTTATTAATGACGAATGGCATTTCAATCTGGAATTCTGCAGCAGCTACAGCTACAAAAAGGGAGCTCTTGAGGGTCGGTTCTGATGCAGCCACTTGGCACGCACTTGCACAAGTATGCACACATGTGCAAATACATCAAGCTACACAACACCTACCCACTCCTACAGCAGACATACACATATACACGAGCACGCACACACGCACGTGGACACACAGGAATCCAAAGAACATCAAAAAGAATCTCTAAGTAGCTCGGAGTTTGTGTGGTGGCTGATGATCAGGAAGAATTTAAAATTCTGGAGCAGCCAGAGGGTTCTTCCCCTGAAGAAACAGCTATTAATTGTGTTGCCCTCCATTACACTCCAGTCAGAAGCATTCAATAAAATAATTACCGGCGGCTGTTTGCTTCGGTGACAAAGAGAATATGTGATGAATAAAGATCAAGCTAAGACTTTCATCCCCTGAGATAACGTCTGCTCTTCAGTCTGTGGACACGCAAAAAAATATTCTACTTCAGCACATGAAACAGCTACTTGTGCTGAGGTGTATTGAGTACATGGCTGAAAATAACTCAACAAGTTCTGAACATTTTGTGATCTGTGCAGAATCCTTATTTTAGTGTAGGAGGCCAGATGTCGACAGAGAAGATAAAACACAAAAACAGCAAATACCAGCAGAAACAAGACCATACAACAAGTATTTGATGTAATGTTACATCGCTGGCAATGAGTAATGTACTTTTTGGGCACTCATCTGCTGCATAAAGACAGTGATGTCTATATATA